CTGGGAGGTGAGGAGGCCATGTGTGTCCACACACTGAGGCAGGCATGTGTCCTACATCTGCACCCTGTGGCATGCAGAGAAGCTTCCCACCTACCACCAGGACAAGGTACTCAAGGCCGTCAAGACCTGACAAGAGGAAACAGACTCGAGTTGTGCCAGGGGAGGTTTAGGTTGGATATTGGGGAAAATTTATTTCCTGAAAGAAGAAAGCCAGCCTGGCACCACTGCACAGGGCACTGTTGGACTGGCTGCATCACCTGGTATTCCATAGGAAAGCACACCTGGTCACTCTTCCTCCCTCTTCTCTCTGTTATTTAATCATACAGAGGAGACCAGACTGCTTGTGCTGTGGTTCGACACCTTCCCCACCTCCAAAGCACAAGCTGTGGGCTCAGGGCACCACTGTCACATCAAGAGTCAGCACAGCCCAGAAGTGTCCTTGGCTCCAAGACACAACCACACAAGAGGCAATCGGACCGGCCTGGCCCGGGAAAAGGAGATTCAGGCCAATTCTGTTACTGCCCAGAAGCTTCTGCAGATGGAGGTTTCCCAGCATGGGCAGCTCTACTGCAGAAGGTGGAAATTTGGGAGGTGGCATTGGCAGAGCCCCTGCCATGCAGAAGAGCAGACAGGGTCATAAAGCAGGCACTCTGTATCTGATGCCCCTTGGTCCATCAGTCCCAGACACCTTCAGGACCTACAGCTGTGGGACAGCAGTGTCACACACCAAGGAGGCAGGACCAGCATCCTCCATCACAGCCCCCCATGCCTCCACAGACAACTCAGGGGGTCCAGCTATGGTCACACGGCTGCCTGTGCCCAGGTGCTGCAGGGAGGTAGGAGGAGGGATGGGTGGCTGGGCAAACCCAACTCTTCACCCCAGCTGGTCCCTCCAGGGGATGACGCGCAGCAGGTTCATTGACCCTGAGCTCCAGCAGCGCCAGTGCCAGACACATCTGGTCTCCCCACAAAGCAACTAATAATTAACCAACTCATTATCCAAGCCACAGTGGAACTCCCTTGGACACTGCAACCCTGGACACTACACCCAGACTGGAAACCAGGTCAGAGGCTGTGCAAACACAGTGGAACCCACACAAACCGCATTCAACAGACCCACCTGCCCGCACACGCAGATGAAAGGGCGGCAGAGGCAGCGTGCCCGGGCACAGCCATCCTTCCCGGGCACAGCCACCCTTCCTGGGCCAGGCTGATAAAGCCTCAGCCCTGGCAATGCTGGCAGGAGAGGGATTTCTCCAGGCCAAGGACCAGCACAGGCACAGCCAGTGTTCCGGTCAGTGCCGAGTCAGTGCGAGAACCTGCTACAGGACATGATCTCGGCAAGGATTATCCCACCAGAACTTTAAACACTCATCAACAGCAAAAGGAGAGGCTCCGGTGTCTCTCTGGGAAACTGATTAGAAACTGCTACCCTTGCTACATTGCCACTTCACGGGCAACAGCAGTAGGTGTCACCAGGCTCTGCTGTCAGTGCCAACTCCAGAAGAACCGGGGATTTCAACCTCTCGGGACCTACTGCTTTCCAGTCCCCATCTGAACACTAGCAGAGCAAAGAATCAAACCAAACCCTGCTGCGACAACAGGACAGGGTCTGCTGGAAAGGAGAACCCAGCAGAGGGTGACATGGAGGGACAAGTAACTCTCCCATACTGCATTCTGTGGGGACCCACCGCGCCAGCAAAAACTGTTCCCAACGTGCCTGACCTTAGTTCCAGCTGTGCAGCCCCCTGAGCACCAGCAGGTGAACATTGAAGGTGCTGGGGTTGGAGTTCCCTCTCCCTGGGGCTGTCTGTGATGGCAGTCAGACACCTCTGCACCCACTGCACACACCTCTGACATCGTCCTGAGAACTGGGCCTTCCAAAGTGGTGTCCCAACAACTCCTCTCTGACACCTTCCAGACCTCCCAAGCTTTTCCAAAGTGTGGACACCAGACTGACCCCAGCACAGAGGCATCTCTAACCCCACCATGACACGTCTGCTCTTACCAACACTCCCAGCTCAGTCAAGGCAGGTACTGACAAGAGGTGATACTTATCATGACCTACCCAACTCACTATGCAAACTTCACCTGATCCATGAGAAAACACCCCCCTGTCCTCCCACAAGCCTTCCCTTACACATGGCCTGCATATCAGTCTTCAACACAGGAGAGCACAGGGAGGTACCTTAAAGCACCTCAAAAAGCAGCACATCTCTCTGGGAGAGGGGACACAGCTGTGAGGAACACTTCCTGAGCCATCAAAGATGCTGTACCCATCAC